AATATATAAGATATGAATTAATGTCTCAAATGACTTATTTTCAGGACTCTTATTTTCTTTGCCTAAGGAATGTGTGAGGTTTATGGTTACAACTTTATGACAGCAGTATTAAAATTACAATGGTTTTGGCTGATCACAACCTACGTGGAATATTAGGAGATACTAATGTATGCTGCTGCAAAGAAATTGTTAACAGCCAAATCACCCCAGATGGTCAGCAGACAAGAGATATCATGCCAGATTTTCCTACCTCCATATTTCACAGGAAGCCCTGGTAGTGTAGTGGTTAAGTGCTATGGCTGCTAATCAAAACGTTGGCCAGCTGCTCCTTGGAAACACTACGGGGCAGATCTACTCTGTCCTACAGGGTCGTTATGAGTCGGAATCAACTCGACGGCAATGGGTTTGGTTCTGGGTTGTATATTTCACAATGCTTTCTATCCCCAAGTTTTTTAGGGAGAAAAATACTTGATGTTAGAATTAAACAAAAAAAAAAGCAGCAGATAGAATGGTATTTGCATTTTGGCAATTATTCATAAGGGATGTCTGTGTGTGGGAGGTCCCTGGGTGGTGCAAACGGTTTGCGCTTGACTAGTAACCTAAAGGTTGACAGTTCATACCCACTCAGTGGCACTGTGGAAGAAAGGCCTGGTAATCTGCTTCCCTAAATATTATAGCCAAGAAAACCTTATGGAGCAGTTCTGCTCTATAACACATGAGGTCGCCTTGAGTCGGAATCAGCTCTATGGTAACAGGTTTGGTTTTGAGTTTTTGGTCTGTGAGTGGTACTTTTGAGGGATAGATGACTCAACACAATAGACTTTGGAGGTGTGGGTTCAAGGTTCTCATCTCATGGGCTAATTGTGTCCTTAGGGTTTTAATATTAACAAAGATAATATGTTTCTAGGACCTTCTTCGGCTTTGGGCGTGTCTGACTTCATGGCCCTGGCATAGTCATGACTGAGCAACAACTCAGTGCGTGTCATAGCTGTATCATCACAGCATACTGCAGTGCTGCTGCATTTGTAACATGATGTCTGTCCTCTGCCAGAAGAAGATGGGCATTGGGCAGGCGTCCTTCACAGGGTCACATACTGGTGAAGAGCTGGGGCTTTGCCAACAGTCAGACCTAGACGATCTAGCCTTAGGCAAGTTAGTTCACTTCCCTCAGCCTCAGTTTCTTAATCTCTTAAATGCGGACGACCAGGGCATCTCTCTCAAAGGCTGTAGTGACCCTGAAATAGAACAATGTGTACAAAGTGTATAGTACAGAGCCTGGCTACATGGTCAGTGCTAAAAAATGCCAGCTATTGTTTTATGTCATGAAGATAAAAAATGGTGGTAAGTGTGGAAAAGATAAGGAAAAAGGAAAGCCTAAGAGGGAAAATATTGGTACCCAGTGTACCAATGCAAAGCTAGTAAGGAGGATTTGTGTGAATGGTAAGGAAGAAAAATCAAAAGAAAAATTATAAAAATAAGGTTAAATCAAATATGTTAAGAAAAAGAAAACCCAGGAATTGAACTTTTCAGCCTAGAAGTTACTCATTGCATAGCATGATAAAATTCACCCAAACCACCACTTGGAAAGTCTGTAGAATTTTGTGTTCTTCTCATCTT